GATATCGTCGCTTTCTCAGCTTGTATAATTCTCACCGTTTACTTCATTTTTAGCTGTAGCAAGAAATCCGCCGGTTAATTTTATATAGAAACCACAAAGCACGATTACAAATAACCGGTTTTTTAAAGATAAATAATGGATATCCAATTCAGCCTTGATCAGACAAAGCTTTAAAGGGTACTGCCATGAATCAGACATGCCATTCTATAAAGAGGTAGGTCACTTGACATTACGAGAACAGTCCCTTTTAAAACCTTAATTTATCCTCCTTCACAATCCACCCTAAACATTAGAACAGTCCCTTTCAAATCCTTAATTTATCCTCCTTCACAATCCACCCTAAATATTAGAACAGTCCCTTTTAAAACCTTAATTTATCCTCCTTCACAATCCACCTTAAACATTAGAACGTCCCTTTCAAATCCTTAATTTATCCTCTCTCACAATCCACCCTAAACATTAGAACAGTTCCTTTCAAATCCTTAATTTATCCTCCCTCACAATCCACCCTAAACATTAGAACAGTTCCTTTCAAATCCTTAATTTATCCTCTCTCACAATCCACCCTAAACATTAGAACAGTCCCTTTCCAATCCTTTATTTATCCTCTCTCACAATCCACCTCAAACATTAGAAAAGTCCCTTTCAAATCCTTTATTTATCCTTCCTCACAATCCACCCTAAACATTAGAACAGTCCCTTTCAAATCCTTTATTTATCCTTCCTCGCAATCTACCTTAAACATTAGAACAGTCCCTTTCCAATCCTTTATTTATCCTCTCTCACAATCCACCTCAAACATTAGAACAGTCCCTTTCAAATCCTTTATTTTTCCTTCCTCACAATCCACCCTAGACATTAGAACAGTCCCTTTCAAATCCTTTATTTATCCTTCCTCGCAATCTACCTTAAACATTAGAACAGTCCCTTTCAAATCCTTTATTTTTCCTTCCTCACAATCCACCCTAAACATTAGAACAGTCCCTTTCAAATCCTTAATTTATACTTCCTCACAAGCCACCCTAAACATTATAAGAGTCCCTTTCAAATCCTTAATTCATCCTCTCTCACAATCCACCCTAAACATTAGTACAGTCCCTTTCAAATCCTTAATTTATCCTCTCTCACAATCCACCTTAAACATTAGAACAGTTTTCTTTCGAATCCTTAATTTATCCTCTCTCACAATCCACCTTAAACATTAGAACGTCCCTTTCAAATCCTTAATTTATCCTCTCTCACAATCCACCTTAAACATAAGAACAGTCCCTTTCAAATCCTTAATTTATCCTCTCTCACAATCCACCTTAAACATAAGAACAGTTCCTTTCAAATCCTTAATTTATCCTCCTTCACAATCCACCCTAAATATTAGAACAGTCCCTTTTAAAACCTTAATTTATCCTCCTTCACAATCCACCCTAAACATTTATCCCTATCCGTGAACACTTTATCATTTTTGCAGAGTTAAATTTTCTGCAAATAATAATTCTGAGATTTTGGCGAATTTGCATTGTTCATCTGACCCTTGTCGTCCACACCTGGGCAGGGTTTAAAGAGGGAGGATTGTGTAAATTAAAGGGACTGTTGCCTTTATTTCAAGTGGTTCTCTATTATTGAGGAAATGTCCGATTCACAAGTTCACAACGGTACCTTAACCATCATTATCTAATCTAAATTGAATAAGATTTCTATGTTTAACACTTTTAGAATATATAATTTTCTATTTTAGTTTCACAAAAAAAATGGTTTGCGCATTTTGTTAGAGATACTGGGAGAGGTACTGTTGTGAATCAGACAACCTCCGTCGTTAAATAAAAGATTGTACTTGAAGTTACAACGACATTTCCGAAACAAGGATAAAAAGAAGGGGAAAAAGGAGAAGTTAAAAAATTTATCAAAGAAAAATTGTTAAATATTATTCATGCATGAATAAAAACTGTACATTTCATCTGTGCGTTCTTGCCAACTGTACAGGGAAACTGTACACTGTACAGTGTAAACTATACACTTTATCTGTGCTCTGTACACTGTACAGTGTAAACTATACACTTTATCTTTGCTCTGTACACTGTACAGTGTAATCTATACACTTTATCTATGCTCTGTACACTGTACAGTGTAAACTTTAGACTTTATCTGTGCTCTGTACACTGTACAGTGTAAAATATACACTTTATATGTGCTCTGTACACTGTACAGTGCAAATTGCACACTTCATATGTGTTCTGTACACTGTACAGTGTAAACTATACACTTTATCTGTGCTCTGTACACTGTACAGTGCAAATTGCACACTTTATCTGTGTGCTCTGTGCACTGTACAAAGTAAACTGTGCACTTTTGACTGGACATTGAACACTGTACACGCTTGATAATTACACTCTGCACTTACCCAATTATACTTTTACCTTACTATCAGAAGAAATAACTAATAGAAAAATGGAGAGGATACAAAGACAGAAATGGATAAAAATAAAGAAAAATAAAAAGGCGAAAAAATTGGAAAAGTGGAAAAAAAATAAAAAAAATAAACAAAGAAAAATAAAAATAACAAAGAAAAAAAAACTGAAATGTTGGCAACCATTTCTTTTAGCAGAAGTTTTTGCAGAGCTTGTTAGTGAGATTTTTCTAATCTATTCCTTCAGGTCCAGTATCTTGGGACCTGTGTTTTTATCCCTGTTTACGTCAAATTACCCCGTCGGAGAGACGGGATAGTGAGGACAGGGGGAAATGCAAAAAGTGTCTCCACTTATCTTGAAAACCAATCTAAACACTGCAGCAGGGGCAAAAGACATCTAGCAGATTTTAAGACACATTTAAAAATCCCAAATGTTGTCCAAAAAATTTCTCACAAATTTTTGGAAACTTCAGAAAAAAATAATTTGATCATTTTTTTTATTTTTGTATAAATTATGATAGATTCCTGAACTGAAAAGTAACAGGGAGCAAATACAAACAAAAATAGAGCTATTAACCCGTCTTATCTTTCTAGCTATCTATCTATATATTTATATATAGTTTCAGAGTTATTTACATATTTACTTTGTCTCTAACTGTGTAGGAATCTTATTTAATAAATAATATATGAAATATTATAGATATCATACCATACTATACAATTATCCAACTATCCAATTATCCAACTATCCAACTATCCAACTATCCAACTTTCCAACTATCCAACTATCCTACTATCCAACTATCCAACTATCCAACTACTCAACTATCCAACTATCCAACTATCCAACTATCCAACTATCCAACTATCCAACTATCCAACTATCCAACTATCCAACTATCCAACTACTCAACTATCCAACTACCCAACTATCCAACTATCCAACTATCCAACTATCCAACTATCCAACTATCCAACTACTCAATCATCCAACTATTCAACTACTCAACTATCCAACTATTCAACTATTCAACTATCCAACTATCCAACTACTCAACTATCCAAATGTATGCTCCTTGATTTTTTTTTAAAGATTTTATATTTTTATTAGTTGTAGATTTAAACACAAGTTGCATCATCTTTATGAAAAAAAAACTAGTTTAGGAAAATATTATTCTAAACCAAAAGTGCATTTGGGTTTGGCCAATTTTAAAACCAACTTTGGAATCAGAAAAGCACTAAAACGAAGAAAAAATTGGAAAGAAATTTATTTTTAAATCGAATTGACCCAATTCCATACCAAACCTAATTCACTGCCCTCGCACAGTAGGAAATAAAATATAAAGAAGTTTGACTAGGAAAAGCTCCAAAAGCCCCCAAAAGGGTCAAAGTTCCAAATGCGTGGTCATCAATAAGAGAATACAAAGAAAAAAAGTTTTATTTTAAATAAATTTAGAAAAAAGAAGATTTTTTTTTAAGAGAAAAATTTTAGGTTTTAAAAGATTTAAATTTTCGTGTCTTTCCTTTTTTGCGGCTTCTCTATCAATTTCTTACCAGCATGCTACCAGACTTGCCATCCCATCAAATAAATTTGAATTTAAAGAAATAAATTGGATTACAGGTTTGTGTAGTTGTAATATTTTACCTAGTGATTTCACTTCCCTTCCTTGCTCTTCGATTCTACACTGTACAGTGCAAATTGNTGTCTTCTTGTCTTCTTGTCTTCTTGTCTTCTTGTCTTCTTGTCTTCTTGTCTTCTTGTCTTCTTGTCTTCTTGTCTTTTTGTCTTCTTGTCTTCTTGTCTTATTGTCTTCATGTCTTCTTGTCTTCTTGTCTTCTTGTCTTCTTGTCTTCGACTTGTCTTCTTGTCTTCTTGTCTGCGTGTCTTCATGTCTTCTTGTCTTCTAAGATTGCATGAGTAGAGTATACTAATTATTAACTGCACTACTATAACCTGTATGTGTAAGTCTCGATAATATTATAGAATTTGCAAAACCAAAAATAGAACGCGCAATGCAAAGAATATACTATACAGTATACTTCTCATACACGTGCACAAACATGTGCAATGTGGAAGAACAGTAAAAAGCACGTAAAGGCCAACTAATTGAAATTGTGTTAACAATAAAAATCATGTTTATAATTGAGATAGATGCGTACTGTGAAGTTGCATGTATCATTTCAATGTTAGCAATACTGATATGCAATATATATGCAATATATATGCAATATTAACATTGTAAAAACATAATTAATCATGAACTATGATATTACAATATCTACATCTAAAAATATATTAATATCAATTTCATCTATATATAGATTTTAACACACGTACATCCTCATATACATTTATATATATTAATAAACATGAAAACTTAGAAGCTACTCTGATTATTGCTTTATATATATATATATATAATATTCATTAATGTATATGTATTTTTATATGTACGTATATATATATAGGTATCTTGAAATGTATGACGCCATGAAAACCGCGCCTTTAATAACCAGTTCAAGCCCCTACTACCATCAATAGGTCATGACATTTAAATAGTTAACGGAAAAGTATGAACCATCGAAGCAGGGGGCGCCCATATGCTCCGGCGCCTCAAGGCGCCACTTCTAGGCGCCGGGGTATATAAAGCCAGGGCTTACACTGGAAAAGTATCAGTTGATCATTCACAAAGACAACAACATGAAGGTGAGTAATATTTACTAAAAGATTATTAATTTGAAATATGCCAAATTCATTTATAAGTTTCTAGATTTTATTTAAATATTAATATTTACATTGTTTGAATTAGGCTTTTATCTGCGCCGCTCTGCTGACCCTAGCAGCTGGTGATCAATCTCACCATCAGTCCATCAAGCTTGGAAATGCTCCTTCTGTCTCTTCCTCTGTATTTAAACCTCACTTTGCTGGTGTAGCATCTGTAGTTAGCCAGCCTCATGCTGCTCCTCAAGCTGTTGATGCTTATCATAATACTGAGAAGTATGCTGCAGGAGTACATGCACCTGCTGCTGTTCCCCATGGTGCTGGATATGCCCCTGCTCCATACCATGCTGCCCCTATCCACCATGCTGCTCCTTATCATGCTGCCCCCGTCCACCATGCTGCTCCCTACCATGCTGCCCCTGTTGTCCACCATGCCGCTCCTTACCATGCAGCTCCCGTCCACCATGCCGCCCCTGTCCACCACGCTGCTCCCTACCATGCTGCCCCTGTTGTCCATGCTGCCCCTGCCCCTTATCATGCCCCTGCTCCTTATCACGCCCCTGCTCCCTATCACGAGGAGAAGGAGACCCCTGAGCCCTACTCCTACACCTATGGAGTTTCTGATGACTACTCTAAGGCTGCTTTCCAGGCTGCTGAATCTGCTGATGGCAGTGGTGCTGTTGTCGGATCTTACTCTGTTGCTCTTCCTGATGGCAGAACCCAGCACGTTAAGTACACTGCTGACCACTACAATGGATATGTTGCTGATGTATCTTACGAGGGAGTTCCCGTCTACCCTGAGGTTAAGGCCTATGCACCTGCTCCTTATGCCCCTGCACCATACCATGCTTAAGTATATGATGTAATGCAGGATATTTATCTAATATTTATTTGAAATATATCTCGCAGATATTCTATATTATTTTTTTTTTTACAAACTTTGTTAAGGGGACACAACACTTTAGAGACGATTGTACGTAATTTGTTCAGTCCGTTTTCTTATACTCAGGGTACCTTGTAGGCTAAAACTGGCTTTTATCTGTGCTTAATCATTTATTAAACCAACAAAAACTCAATTGAGTGCAGAAACCAAAAATCAAGCTTCAACTCGCAATTTTTAATAGTTTTTGGTCGTCTTTACAGTCTCATCCTTTGTGGGTAACCCTATACCTCCTGTAGGGAGAAACTATGCTAGTAAGCCTCTTTCTTTTTTTCTTAATAAAAAATGCTAAGCTTAAAATTATTAAGGTTAAACTTGTACTTTTTTTGACGAATGAAAAAAAAAATTATAAATTAAAATTGGAGTACTATTAAAGAGGGCATTATTACACATACGGGCAGGAGGGGGGGGGGGGTGATGTTTAAATTATAATAATAATAAAGTGTATTCAAAAATACCAAGTGAATTCACAAAAAACCGAAAATGTACAAATTTCTTGTGACCGGGTATTTTAAAGAAAAGGTCATAAAAAGTAAACAGCCTCAATTCAATCGTTTAAAATTATATATTTAAAGGAGAAGGGGTCTGGTAAATGACTCCCCGTCCCTTCCCAGTACGGATAGGGGGGGAACAGTGTGAAAAATGCACTTTTTTAACACAGTTCGCTGATTTAAAAAATCTGATTTGATTTATGTTCTACGCAAATGGTTTCAATAAAAGCATTATTTATGATTTTCTTTGTGCAGGAATATGTGATTAGATATTGTCAGCAGTAGTTTGGTGTAGAGATTATTAAATATTATCAAAATAATAAACAAATGAATAAAATATATATATTTTTTTCTATAATTCGAATAAATTACTAAAAAACCTATAAATAAGGCATTTCAATGGTTTGTCTATTAGTTTGTCTGTTTTTGTTTGAATCCAATCACGTGTAAATGGATGAACTGAATTTTTTGTGGAACCTCACATGGTCACATGGTCACATGACCCGTCCCTGTAAAGTTTTATCCCATGAAAGGAATTGGGTCGTTGTCACAAACTATGATTTTCTTATCTAAATATCTTTGCAACCCAATGCCGTAGACCTTAGATATTTCAAACTATGAATTCTGTTAGATGAAATAATCTAGAAGTTTGAAATATCAAAGGTTTACACCATCAGGTGGAAATCATATAAGTATTAGAAAATCAGAGTTTGTTACAAAGACTCAATTCCTTTGCATGGTCAGTTGAAATAGGACAGAAAGTAAAACTTTAAAGATAAAAAATATTTCTAAAAAAAGTTATATTAAACTCAAAAAGGTTATCAATTGTAGAGTAAAGTGCGTTTTTTGGGTATAGTTAAGCTTAACTTTTCCGATGTTTAGGAAAAACACCTTTAACTCACAATAGTTAAACACAAATTGTTTAAAAAAACATACATTCTATAGTTTGAAGATATTTGAGTAAGAAACCGAAGAGAAAATGGAAATAATTCGGCATTGCTTCAGATACAAAGGTTGCTTTAAAGCAATTCAAATTGCTGTTTTTGGTCATATATTTCACTTAGGTTGGTTATTAATTCTGTTGTTTGGTTATAGTGTTCAACTTTATCCTTTTTTACACTCGTTTAAGCTGGTCCAGTAAAAATGTTTCTTACAACACTATTTTTCATGAGTATATTTATTCCTATTAAAAAATATTTTTCAAGTAAAAAAAACACGAACAAAAATAAACATAAAAATCCGACAAGAATGGACTTCAACAAAAATTTAGATTATTTGATTTTACTATTTTTCACCCCAAGCACTAATAAAAGTTAAAAACAATTTTTTCCGACATAGCTAGATCTGCTTCCTCTTATTATTGAGGATCATAAAGCTGCTCAGCGACCTGAGGATCCTCAAGCTGCCCAGCGTGGAGAAGATCGTCAAGCTGCTCAGCGAAGAGAGGATCATCAAGATGCTCAGCGAAGGGAGAATCATTAGGCTGCCCAGCGAGGAGAAGATCATCAAGCTGCTCAGCGAGGAGAAGATCATCAAGATGCTCAGCGAAGGGAGGATCATTAGGCTGCCCAGCGAAGAGAAGATCATCAAGATGCTCAGCGAAGGGAGAATCATTAGGCTGCCCAGCGAGGAGAAGATCATCAAGCTGCTCAGCGAGGAGAAGATCATCAAGATGCTCAGCGAAGGGAGGATCATTAGGCTGCCCAGCGAAGAGAAGATCATCAAGCTGCTCAGCGAGGAGAAGATCATCAAGCTGCTCAGCGAGGAGAAGATCATCAAACTGCTCAGGGAGAAGAGGATCATCAAGCTGCTCAAGGTGTTCAGTCCTCTTGAAAACAGTTCCTGACATTAGCTTGAGTTTGTTGGGAGCTTGTTCATTCCAAAGGAAACAATTCAGTTCTTGCAAAGGATTTTGCCCATATATTGTCATCCCTAAGAACTTTTCAGTGGCTTCCCATAGCTTGCTCACAACAGAATATTTGGTCAAAGTAGACCCGACATTTTTGGTTTGAAAATCTTATATGAAATGTTTTAATTCAACCTTAGTGCTGTTTCATAATTGATGTAAAACTATAACCAAATTCCACAATTTCATGTATAACCATCTTTCGGACCTACTAAAGATCTTTATGGAGCTCTTGAATTGCATTTCTTAGCTCTAAAATTTCAAGAATGCATTATTTTTATGTTGTTAGACAGTTTTGATAAATTATCAACGCTATTTCAACCATTCTATTTGCTTTGTGTAATGTGAATGGGCTCGTTTTGCTTCAAGAGTTATCTTATCTTCTCATCAGTTCTGATTTGGAAAAGTGTAATAAGTAAGAATTTTTTATTATACATTAAAATTAGTGTTCGCGAAAAAATAAAGAGGGTGTAAGCTTCTTTCGAAAAATATTCGATTGTGATTGCTACTAATCTTACGTCTGTATAAGGAGAAAATGGTTAAAAAGGACTCATACCGAAGAACATAGCGTCCATACAAATTCAGAAAGTTGCAATATTCGACACGGATCGTAAAAAATCAAGTTAATTCCAAAGAAATTATTCAGATATTACAACCTAAAATCATAGATTTTTTTGACGCATTCATAAATAGTTGATATTTCATAATAAATTTTATTTGTTATACCTACAACGCAATTAAAACGACGATTAACTAGTTGGTCGCAATTGTCTCGCTCTCGACTTTTCTGTTGTTCCATGTTATAGGAGAGACACTTAGTGGACAAAAATCCTCGCTTTAAGTGTGCATTGTATACATAAAACAAATAAAATATAATATCACATTCAATTATATACTCTAACAATGGTTAGGGGGCTAGGGAGATTTTAAAAAAAGTTTTAAAAGTATGACGGAAAATGTTTGGAAATATTTGTTTATACTTTTGTATTATCATGTGACACATGTTAAAAAATAAATTTTACAAGGAAATTAAAAAAATACGTAAGACAAAGTTAAGACAATTTTAGATTTTTTGAAACACCTAGCCATTTGAACGCCCTTCACTCTACCTTATGCTTTAAAAAAATGTGTTGAAAAATTTTATGTATGAAGTTGAAAAAGTTCGAGCGTTCTAATGTTCACAGTTTTTAATCCTAACCCTGCTGGGGTACTTGAAGACCAGGATAAATCCCATGTTTTTTTATACATTTTTCCTTTCAATGGTAATCATGGACATGGAGAATGAAGATCAAGTTACTAGGGATGTTTGTAGATCGTGGTAAGGGGGGGGGGGGTAATTACCCCTAATATTCTAGAGGGGGGGGGGTAATTACCTCAAGGATTCTAGGGGAGGGGGGGTAAGTAACCCCAATAACCCCCCTTATTTACGCCAATGTTCTTGGTGATGTGTCACCTTAATTATGTTTGTAAAAAAATAATAGTATAGAATATCTGCGAGATATATTTCAAATAAATATTAGATAAATATCCTGCATTACATCATATACTTAAGCATGGTAAGGAGCAGGGGCATAAGGAGCAGGTGCATAGGCCTTAACCTCAGGGTAGACGGGAACTCCCTCGTAAGATACATCAGCAACATATCCATTATAGTGGTCAGCAGTGTACTTAACGTGCTGGGTTCTGCCATCAGGAAGAGCAACAGAGTAAGATCCGACAACAGCACCACTGCCATCAGCAGATTCTTGCTAGGGTCAGCAGAGCGGCGCAGATAAAAGCCTAATTCAAACAATGTAAACATTAATATTTAAATAAAATCTAGAAACTTAAAAATACATTTTACAGATTTTAAAAATAATAATTTTTTAGTAAATATTATTCACCTTCATGTTGTTGTCTGTGTGAATGATCAACTGATACTTTTCCAGTGTAAGCCCTGGCTTTATATACCCCGGCGCCTAGTAGTGGCGCCTCCGTAGGCGCCTGTGCACTAGGCGTTTCAATCAGCTGATTTGTATTTGAACTTCAGTTTTTCTATTTTATCTGAAGATTTCGTACAGCCCACTTGCAAAATAGAAAACTTTCACTTTTAAAATTTTTTTTTATACCGAATAACACGGCGTTCATACAAATTGAGAAAATTTCAACATACGACTTAGACCGTAAAAAATCAATTTAATTTCAAACAAATCATTCAGATATTACAACCAATAGTCATCGATTATCTTTCGCCACATTTATATATAGCCCAATCACCATAATAAAAAGTAAATGTTATGATCTGAGAGTTACTTACAAAAACATTTATTCCTGTTTCGAGGATTTTTGGTAATGAAGACGACATTTTCATATTTTCCAGGAATGTTCGAAAACAAGTTGTAAGCTAAATATTATTTAAAAAAACAAAATCAAAACTAGTATGAAATATCAAATATATCCAAATGTGGCGAAAGATAATCGATGACTATAGGTTGTAATATCTGAATGATTTGTTTGAAATTAAATTAATTTTTTTACGGTCTAAGTCGTATGTTGAAATTTTCTCAATTTGTATGGACGCCGTGTTATTCGGTATGAGACGTCTTTAACAATTTTCTCCTTATAGACGCAACAGATAGAAGTAAGATTAGTAGCGATCAAAAGCGCTTTTTTATCGCATTAAGCCTATACCCCCTTTTATTTTTTGCGAACACTCCCTTTAAAGAATTATCTTACCCCTCCTTTTACACCTAGATCAGCCCATGATGAACAACTAAATCATATTATCAAAACCACTTGAGATTAAAACAAATAAAGCTATTAGACTAGTCACTAAACTTCTACTGAAGGGTCAGAGGTGTGTGTGATGATATATTGTATATTAATGAAGATGAATTAGTAACCCTTGATGGCAAAGGGATAAGAGGCAATTGGCCGCAGTTAAAAAGGGTGTCCAAATATTTAATGTTTCCATCATGTAGATAGTGTATAATAAGGTTTATATTGAAATCTACCATCAATATAATTTCTTCAGGGAATAGGAATAAAGGGAAAGGAAATGGCGCTGGTCTGGCATGAGAAAGCCAGTCGCACTGCTTTGCAGACGAGTTCGGTATTCCTTACATACACTCTTCTGGTACAGACGCACAACATGATTACAGTCAAGGAAATTGCAGAACAATAATGTCAATTATAATTAAGCTTGAATAACGACCAGTTTATCGTAAACTTTAATCAAATTATATTCTTTGCATGAAAATTTGGCTTAGTGTTACACACCGGACTAACCAGAGTAAGACGCGTTCGGTTTCTTCTATTTGAAGTCATATGTGTTTTGGTCTATAACTAAACAATCTTTAAACTTACAAATTTGTTAGTTTTATACTTTTCATTCAAAAAGTATATGCCGGCAAAAAAGTATAAAAAGAAGAAAGGCTAAAAAGTTATGTTTAATAGGTCAAATTGTGATTGAAAGTCACAGCTTTCTGGAATATTGACAGAACCGTTAAATCCACGTGGTTAATAATAATAATAATAATAATAATAATGTTAAATAATATATTACATGTATATTAAACTTATTTTTAAGTAAACAATTCACAATAAACAAATGTACTCTCCTAGACTGTACAAATACCGAGATTCGTGTGTACAGTAAATTTCACGACTGAAGATATACAAACCTGATCATTATAGTCTAGTTTAGAACGAAGTAATTTTAGTAAGGTAGACATATCCACTTGCAATGATATTGAGGTTAAAAGATATATATGACAAATAACGCACTTTACTCTAAAGTTAACTCTACTATCTACTTCTTGTAATTTTTTCATTTCAACCTCAGTTTCTTGTATTAATGTTTGTTTAATTTCGTGTTTTCCAAATCCATGAAAACAGAAAAAAGATAAATCTGCGAAATTTATTTGTTATTTATGAATTAAAGTCGAGAAATCTGCAGTATAGATGGAGCAAGAATAAAAAGTTTAAATCGAAGATGAGCACTAAACGTCCTGAAAGCCTAGTTATAAAGAAAACATTACAATCTTCAGTGCAGGAAGTTTTCATCCAAACTCGTCTTACTTATATTGGAGACCAACTTAAGAGAAAATCTTATAGGAGACAGAAATTTCGTTTAATTGTCTCCTGTGGATGAACGCGAAATTCACTTTGTTAAAAGTTCCTGTATTTTTTCTTAAAATTTTTACATTTCTTTTAATCAATTTTGTGTAAGAGATAACGTGAAAAATAAAAACTTTGCATGAAATAATCTGTCTGTAGAGATGGGCATTTGTGTATTTTTTTGTTCATCGTATTTGAACGACCCATTTCGTTAGTTTTTTTTCAATGGATCAAAAAATGTATTTCGTTTGTTTTTAAAATCATCGTTTATTTTCTATGCTATTACGTTCGTTTTCTCATGAAACTATAGTTCTGTAAAATTGTTCGTCCAGTAAAATCGTTTGTTTTTTAAAAACGTTCGTTTAACAAAATCGTTCATTCAGAAAAAAAGATTTTTTTCAAAACTCTGTTCGAAAAAATCGTTCATTTAGTAAAAAAAGATAGTTTAAAAAATTTGTTCCAAAAAAATCGCTAGTTCAGTGAAAAAACAAAAGCTTTTTTTAAAGTCTTTTGGAAAATTCGTTTGTTCAGTAAAAAAATAATAATTTTTTCAAGTTTGTTTGAACAATCTCAAATTGTTCGTTTTTTTCGTTAGTTTTTCAAAAATGATAATTTTACATATTTCTTAATAATCCATTTTCGTTCGTCTGTCGTTCGTTTTTTTCTAAACGACACTCTTTTTCACAAAAAAATCGTTCGTTCTAAAAATATTTTTGTTCGTTCATAAAAACGATGCCCCTCTCTATCTGTCTGTCTGGATCTATCTATCTATCCTTCTATCCATCTATATATCTATCTATCTATCTAATTTACTTGTTTTCAATACTTTGATACTTAGAAGGGAGTTTTACAAATCTGCGAAAACACTGTCGTAAAAATTTAGCTATGATTCTAAAATGTACATAGATATTCGAAAAACCCTTTAAAAAAATTGAAACAATTGATTATAATTTTCTAAAATATTTGTTGAAAGCTGTCCGGCTATTTTTTAAGAATCAGCGAAAAAAAAACGTTATATAGCTGAAGCACAAATTTTTTTTGCAAATTCTAAATATTTAGTGAAATTTTTGCAAAATATCTGCAAAAAAATCGGACTTTAAGAGCTCTCACACAAAAATCGAGCAGATTTTGCCAACTCTCCTTTTAACCTTTAGCTAGAAACAGACACGTAGTATTTTTAAATGTTTATGTCTAAGCCTAGAAAAAAAGGATTTATGATTTGTGAGGTAAAACCAAAGGCCAAAGTGTTGAGACACTTAAAAGTTGAGTTTGTATGCAAATTTAATAACTCAGGTTTGTCTATATCTCAGTGGGCATAAGTCATGAACCTTTGATATTTTAATCATTTGCAATTGCAAGTCAGCATTTGAAAAATCAAAGGTTGCCACCACACAAAGATTCATAAATCTAATTAAAACCATGCATCAATTTTCAATTGTCTAATGTCTTTTTTATTAATTTTTGTCCCTCAATTTGAAGTTAATGCGACAAAAAGTAACCAATTCAGAGTAGCATTATCATAGCTGTGTTTATATGTAAATATCTTAATAAACCTTCATTTGTTTGATTCTGTGCTGAAACTTGAATGAAACTATCAATTTTGGTAAATTTGCTTAAAAATATTATTTTTTTGCGTAAAAAAATTACGTTTTCCGCAATACTTCCGATTTTGTGCAAAAAAAATGCGCAAAAACGCGCTAAAGATGTGGAAAAGTTCGCAAGACATATGGTCATATTAATTTAAAGGAACTGAGCTTTTGCCACGAACTCTGTTTTTGTAATCCCAATATCTTTTCAACTCAAAATCGTAAATCTTTGATATCTCAAACTATGAATTATGTTAGACCAAATAGTCTAAGTTTGAAGTATCATAGGTTTACACCATCAGTTTGCAAAAATATATAGGGATTAGAAAATTTGAATTTGTGGCAAAAACTCAATTGCTTTTTAACATGCTTTCCCTTGCACTCGTCATTTCCCCTTAGATTTAATTTTATATGATGGATAGAAAAGAGTTTGCAGGTCACGTTAACAATGTATAGTTACAAATTTTATTAAAAAAACATAACATTTTATTATTAAGAATTAGAATCTTGATATGTTTGATCAAAATTGAGAAAGCAAATAAGAAAGAAGATAAGTTATGTAAACTAATTTACTTTTCATGTATAGTGACACTTTAATTTTGTATATAAAGCAAACAATAATATAGAATAATTGCGAGATATATTTCAAATAAATATTAGATAAATATCCTGCATTACATCATATACTTAAGCATGGTAAGGTGCAGGGGCATAAGGAGCAGGTGCATAGGCCTTAACCTCTGGGTAGACGGGAACTCCCTCGTAAGATACATCAGCAACATATCCATTGTAGTGGTCAGCAGTGTACTTAACGTGCTGGGTTCTGCCATCAGGAAGAGCAACAGAGTAAGATCCGACAACAGCACCACTGCCATCAGCAGATTCAGCAGCCTGGAAAGCAGCCTTAGAGTAGTCATCAGAAACTCCATAGGTGTAGGAGTAGGGCTCAGGGGTCTCTTTCTCCTCGTGGTAGGGAGCAGGGGCGTGATAAGGAGCAGGGGCATGATAAGGGGCAGGGGCAGCATGGACAACAGGGGCAGCATGGTAGGGAGCAGCGTGGTGGACAGGGGCGGCTGCAAAGTGAGGTTTAAATACAGAGGAAGAGACAGAAGGAGCATTTCCAAGCTTGATGGACTGATGGTGAGATTGATCACCAGCTGTCAGGGTCAGCAGAGCGGCGCAGATGAAAGCCTAATTCAAACAATGTAAATATTAATATTTAAATAAAATCTAGAAACTTGAAATTAAATTTCACAGATTTTAAAAATAATAATTTTTTAGTAAATATTATTCACCTTCATGTTGTTGTCTGTGTGAATGATCAACTGATACTTTTTCAGTGTAAGATCTGGCTTTATATACCCCGGCGCTTAATAGTGGCGCCTCCGTAGGCGCCGGTGCTACTAGGCGTTTCGATCAGCTGATTTGTATGTTTCAGACTTTTCCCGTTAAAGATTTAAATGTCATGACCTATTAATTTTTATATTTAGTTTATAAACATGAACTATAGAGATTTAATAGAACATTCAAACTACAGTAGTGCTTCGCAAACACTATTTATGATTAGTAATATTTAAATTTAATATTTATAATTTTTTTTCAATATTTCATTTTTTCAAACAAAAACTTATTTTTGTGTTTTCGATCCCTAATTTGTCGGCCCTGTTTGTTTTTTGCTAACGCATTTTATTCCGTATTGCAGAAAATGAAAAAATAGGCCTGCATAAGATGCTTGAACTTGAGATTCAAAGAACACAAATTTGACTTCTGGACAAACTTTTAAAATCTTTTTTATTTTCAAAAGTTTAAAAATTGCAAACTGCATCTAGGAAAAACAAAGTTATCACGATATTGTAGTCTTCTTGTTGATAATGCAAATATATGGGTTCACAAAAAATTCTGCGTCGATTGAAGACGATTAAAAAGTCGTTAATTAATTTCCATGTTTATTGGGACACCCTGTAATAAGCCTTTTATTCATTTTGACCTTTAAGAACTCGTCTTTAAAAATATTACAATTCATATCAATATTTAATATTGTTTGACATTTTCAGGAATTATTTTTTTTCATTTTTCTTTTCATGACAAAGTTACCAAGATTCCTTATTCAATTATTATTGTATTGTGGTAGGACAGCGGAGATATTGTCTTTTTCTAATTATATTAGGATCAAGATTGTATATTAGGATCAAGGTTGTATATTAGGATCAAGGTTGTATATTAGGATCAAGGTTGTATATAAGGATCAAGGTTGTACATTAGGATCAAGGTTGTATATTTTCTTGAAAAATAATCCCCCTTTCTTTTGAAAATATTGTTTACCCAAAAAGTTTTCGAAGGTTTTTCTCGCTGAATTAGGGAATTTTAGGTGAAAATAATTAAATTTGTTTTCTGTCAACAGTGTATGTAGGGATTTTTGAATAACAATATACACATATTGATATTCAAAAAGGACGAAATTTTAAGAAAAATAATTTCGCAAAAAAATTCAGCGAAAACCAAAGCTGCAGCAATTAATTTCGCAAAAAGCCTTGTGGAATTCTCTGCTCTGAGAGCACAGCGTTAGAAGTTTTATTTTATCATAATTAATAATTTCTCTTCCCTATTGTTTTCGCAAAAGTTTCGCATTTTTTTGCTTTTTTTCGCAAAATTTTCACATTTCTCATTTTGCGAAAGTTTTTCGCATTTTTCGTTTGTCGTTTCAAATTAAAGCAAAGTTTTGCAAAAATGCGAAATTTTTGGTAAACGATTTAACCTTTTCGCAGGAAACCTAACATAAAAGACGACTGTACGGGTTTTAATTAGTCTTTTCACTAAATTTCTGGTTCCCTGCAACTGTAAACTTAATTTTCTGGTAAATAATCAATGTTGTCATTTTAAATATTTAATTTTATGAGTTAAAGGTTGTGATTAAAGTTGTATTCTTTGAAGGTAACTATGGTTAAATATTCCTACTCGAAGGACTTTTTTACTGGTCTAAAATTACCTTAATTTTAGTAATAGATAAAAAAATATTCAAACTATTCAATATTTAATATAACGAAGTAATTTAGCTTCATCCATTTTATTTTTATATTTTTGCAAACGTGATGTTACCTGTAACTATATTTTTGGACTATGACAAGACTTGAATACTGGGTTCAATTTGATGTTTTGGTTCAAGTCTATTCACATGGTTGTGTTTTTCTAAAAACAACCATTGTACATTAGTATACAGCAAAGGGTTACCACTGTAAAGACGACACACAACTGTAAAAATTTAACGATTTGAAGCTTGACTTTTGGTTTCTGAATTAAATTGAGTATTTGTTGGGTTACTAAATGATTAAGAACAGAAATAAGCCAGTTTTGACCTACACATGGAACCCTGAATGCAAGAAAACGGACTAAACAAATTCCTTACACTCGTCTCTGAATTTGGTAACAGGCTCAATATCTAATGATAAAATTACTATGATTTTTAAATAGAATTCAAGTGCTAATTAGAAGAAACATTCATAAGATAGGGTGTCTGTTTGTTTGGAAGTCCAATCATAACTCAAAACTCATGAACTCCTTAAATGGTTTTTAATCGGGGAACTCTATTGTGAACCCAACTCAAAGGGTTCTCAACTGTAGTATTGTACAATTTATTGTTCCCAAGCGGAGAAATAAAGCCTAACAATCCAATCCAAGAATAAAGCCAAACAATCAAACCCAAGCCCAAGAGGATATTGAACCCTTAGTATGTTTGATAGTCTGATTGTGAGTATTCAATTGGCTAGACCCGCAAGGGTATTGAACCCTTTCTTATCTGGTATATATCAAGAGTACTGTTAAAGGGTGGAGCTATGGGAGGATCTATGCTGGAGAAAGTAGGAAAACGGCATTTTCTGCCGAGGCAGAATGTGATTTATCGGCAATCTTTATGCCCTAGAACTCGTCAGTATGCACGAAGCAACAAGTAGAAGTTCCATGGAATATACATTTGCTACTAAGTTTGAATATCAGTTTGTATACTTAAACCTGTAAATATAGTTTACCAAATTGTCATTACCAAATTGTCATTACCAAATTGTCATTACCAAATTGTTACATTTGCTACTAAGTTTGAATATCAGTTTGTATACTTAAACCTGTAAATATAGTTTACCAAATTGTCATTACCAAATTGTCATTACCAAATTGACATTACCAAATTGACATTACCAAATTGTCATTACCAAATTGACATTACCAAATTGACATTACCAAATTGACATTACCAAATTGACATTACCAAATTGTCATTACCAAATTGACATTACCAAATTGACATTACCAAATTGTCATTACCAAATTGTCATTACCAAATTGACATTACCAAATTGTCATTACCAAATTGACATTACCAAAAATCTGCCCGTCATTTAATTTTCACTGGAGGGGTTTTCAAAAGTCACTTTTTTCAATTTGAAACTCCACTCTGAAGGGTTCAGATATCTTTCCAGGGGGTTTATAGTTCCACTGGAGGGATTCAGATATCTTTCCAGGGGTTTATAAATCCACTGGAGGGATTCAAATATCCTTCCTATGGGTTTATAATTCCACTGGAGGGATTCATATGTATATTCAGGGGATTTAAATTCCACTAGATGAATTCTTATATCTGTCCAGGGTTTTATAATTCCACTGGAGGGATTCAGATATCCTTCCAAGGGTTTTATAATTCCACTGGAGGGATTCAGATATCCTTCCTAGGGATTTATAATTCAACTGGAGGGTTCAGATATCTGTCCAGGGGGTTTATGGTTTATAATTCTACTGGAGGGATTCATATATCTTTCCTATGGGTTTATAATTCCACTGGAGGGATTCATATATCTCTCCTATGGGTTTATAATTCCACTGGAGGGATTCAGAAATCTTTCCAGGGGGTTTATAAATCCACTGGAGGGATTCAGATATCCTTCCTAGGGGTTTATGATTTCACTGGAGGGATTCATATATCTTTCCAGGGGGGTTATAATTCAACTGGAGGGATTCAGATATCCTTCCTAGGGATTTATAATTCAACTGGAGGGTTCAGATATCTGTCCAGGGGGTTTATAATTCCACTGGAGGGATTCAGATATGTTTTCAGGGTGTTTATAATTCCACTGGAGGGATTCAGATACCTTTTCAGGGGGTTTATAATTCTACTGGAGGGATTCATATATCTTTCCTATGGGTTTATAATTCCACTGGAGGGATTCATATATCTCTCCTATGGGTTTATAATTCCACTGGAGGGATTCAGAAATCTTTCCAGGGGGTTTATAAATCCACTGGAGGGATTCAGATATCCTTCCTAGGGGTTTATAATTTCACTGGAGGGATTAATATATCTTTCCAGGTGGGGTTATAATTCCACTGGAGGGATTCAGATACCTTTTCAGGGGGTTATAATTCCACTGGAGGGATTATTATATCTTTCCAGGGGGTTTCTAATTCCGCTGGAGGGATTCATTTATCTTCCAGGGGGGTTATAATTCCACTGGAGGGATTCATATATCTTTCCAGGGGGTTTATAATTCCACTGGAGGGATTCATATATCTTTCCAGGAGGTTTATAATTGCACTTGAAGACCATCCAAGGAGAAAATTTCATGGGAGACCACTAACAAAAATTTCGCTAAATTGTCTCCTGTGGGTGAACACGCAAAGTTCACTTTGTTTAAATTTCCTGTATTTTTTCTTCAAATTTTCACCTTTATTTTAATCAATTTTGTGTAAGAGATAACGTTAAAGATAAACGCTTTGCATGAAGTTATCTATCTGTCTATCTATCTATTTAGCTATCTATCTATCTATCTATCTAAATGTAAGCTGTGGATTAATATAAACATAACCCAGTATAATCTGAGCTGCAAGAATGAGAAGAGGGTTCATATTCTTCTCTTTAATATCTCCTTTACTAGGAATCAGGTTAGTCAGAGGAAACACTGTATTTTGATGTTTTTCTTTTTGCAGATCTACAACTCTACATTCTTGTACATATCTACATTCTTGTACATCTCTACATTTTTGTACTTCTCTATATTCTTGTACAGCTCTACATTCTTTTACATCTCTACATTCTTGTACATATCTACATTCTTGTACATCTCTACATTTTTGTACTTCTCTATATTCTTGTACAGCTCTACATTCTTTTACATCTCAACATTCTTGTACATCTCTACATTTTTGTACATCTCTACATTCTTATACATTTCTACATTCTTGCACAACTTTACATTCTTTTACAGCTCTACATTATTGTAAAGCTCTACATTTTTATAAATCTTTATTCTTGTAGCTCTATTCGTGTACATCTCTACATTTTTTTACAGCTCTGCATTCTTGTACATCTCTACATTCTTGTGCATCTCTACATTCTTGTACAGCTCTACATCATTGTACATCTCTACATTCATGTACACCTCTACGTTATTGTACATCTCTACATTCTTGTACATCTCTAAAGTCTTGTACATCTCTACATTCATGTACACCTCTACATTATTGTACATCTCTACATTCTTGTATACCTCTACATTATTGTACATCTCTACATTCTTGTACATCTCTACATTCTTGTACATCTCTACATTATTGTACATCTCTACATTCATGTACACCTCTACATCATTGTACATCTCTGCATTATTGTAAACTCTACATTCTTAAACATTTCTACATTCTTATACAGCTCTCCATTCTTGCACTTCTCTACACTCTTGCACTTCTCTACACTCTTGTACATCGCTACATTCTTAAACATTCTTGAACATATTCATCATAGATTAATTAAAATAACAAGATGTTAAATGTCGCCTTTCAAGATTGGATAAAACTCGTTAACAATAACCATAAGGCAAAAGCCCAAAGGAGTTTCGCACAGTCGGCATAGAATAGCCTCTCTCTGTCTTGTATTTCTACGCCGACATGGGCTTCTGCCTCAGGGTTATTGTGAACGAGTTTCATCCCAATCTTGAAAAGACGACATCTAGTGTCCTATCTGTAATTTTAATTAATCTATGTGTACATATTCATATTCTTGTACATGTGACGACAGTTTGTACTTAATAACCTAGAAATTAATGTTGTATGTAAGATAAACAATAATTTTGTAAGATATGATTAAACAGCTGTTATAGTACACAGTGCTTTTTCTACTTAAAGAGAATGTTAATGTAATCGTATCAAGGTAACCCTAGCTAATTCTATACAGTTAATTTCCCTTTTAAATTTCACTTACATCCCTTTTATTGAATGTTTAAGGAAAGAATTTAAAAAAATTTAATATTTAATATTTAATATTTTTCTAATTTTTTTAGAAAATTCCCCGATGCACCGGTCTCTTTTACACCTAGGAACAATTCTAAATATTTACAAAAATAATGATGATATAATTCCTAATATAATATAATATAATACAATATTTAAGTCTGGTTTGACATATTTTTATTCATTTACCCTAATTTAAGAAAATATTAAACAAGTATGAAACTTTGCATGCTTGAAAGAAAGTCCCATCAAAAATAAGAATTAAAGGAGTGACCGACTATGTAAGGTAGTTGAGTATGCAGTGTTGTGGAAAACTTCTTTCGGATTCATTCGAGACATATAACACTTTTTAAAGATCTGTAAATCCTGAGTTTGAGCGCAAATTCGACGAACTCCTACTTTGGGGGTGGATGCGTTTTCAAAATAAAAATTAATCTTATCATCGGAAATAAGTAATCTTGTTCAATTATTAGGTTCTATTGTCTCATTATTATGGTTTCTCATTATTCACAAAGATTTAGAAGATTTTTTAGAATTATTATTGAAAAGACGACATTTAAAGAATTTGAAGAAATCTGCGAATAAATTCAAAGAAGTTATGAAATTCAATATAATAATAAAAACGAAATAATCGATTTTAGCATTGATTTATTGACAAATTTCTTTTGAGAAATTTGTTCCTAACCATCTGATAAGATTACTGTATAATGTTCACTTTATTTTTCGTTGTCGTTATTTCATAATTTAAAAAAGCTTATTCTGAAACGTATCCATTCACCCCCAAAGTAGGAGTTTTGAACGTCGAATTTGCGCTCAAACTCAGGATTTACAGATCTTTAAAAAGTTTGATATGTCTCAAATGAATCCGAATCATTTCTACATCATTGTACATCTCTACATTCATGTACACCTCTACATTCTTGTACATCTCTACATTCTTGTACATCTCTACATTCATGTACACCTCTACATTATTGTACATCTTTACATTCTTGTACATCTCTACATTCTTGTACATCTCTGCATTATTGTAATCTCTACATTCTTGAACATTTCTATATTCTAATACAGCTCTCCATTCTTGCACTTCTCTACATTCTTGTACATATTTATCATAGATTAATCAAAATAACAGGATGTTATATAAATGTCGCCTTTTCAAGATTTGGATAAAACTCGTTAACAATAACCATAAGGCAAAAGCCCAAAGGAGTTTCGCACAGTCGGCATAGAATAGCCTCTCTCTGTCTTGTATTTCTACGCCGACATGGGCTTCTGCCTTAGGGTTATTGTGAACGAGTTTCATCCCAATCTTGAAAAGACGACATCTAGTGTCCTATCTGTAATTTTAATTAATCTATGTGTACATATTCATATTCTTGTACATGTGACGACAGTTTGTACTTAATAACCTAGAAATTAATGTTGTATGTAAGATAAACAATAATTTTGTAAGATATGATTAAACAGCTGTTATAGTACACAGTGCTTTTTCTACTTAAAGAGAATGTTAATGTAATCGTATCAAGGTAACCCTAGCTAATTCTATACAGTTAATTTCCCTTTTAAATTTCACTTACATCCCTTTTATTGAATGTTTAAGGAAAGAATTTAAAAAAATTTAATATTTAATATTTTTCTAATTTTTTTAGAAAATTCCCCGATGCACCGGTCTCTTTTACACCTAGGAACAATTCTAAATATTTACAAAAGTAATGATCATATAATTCTTAATATAATATAATATATAATACAATATTTAAGTCTGGTTTGACATTTTTTTATTCATTTTCCCTGGTTTAAGAAAATATTCAAAAATAAGAATTAAGTTACAACTTCGAAACCATAATTTGCAGAAATGACAGTAATATAAAATGTGAATGATCTGACGAACAAGCATGATATAGTTTGACAGTTAAGTACAGTTGTTTAAGTAAAACCAACGGTCATGGTGCTTTGACTATTACTTTGACAGTTAAGTACAGTTGTTTAAGTAAAACCAACGGTCATGGTGCTTTGATTATTAGTTTTACAGTTAAGTACAGTTGTTTAAGTAAAACCAACGGTCATGGTGCTTTGACTAGTAGTTTGACAGTTAAGTACAGTTGTTTAAGTAAAACCAACGGTCATGGTGCTTTGACTAGTAGTTTAACAGTTAAGTACAGTTGCTAAAGTAAAACCAACGGTCATGGTGCTTTGACTATTTTCACTCTTGTATAAAGAACATTTACATCGAGGTCTTGACCCTTATTTAGATAATTATGCATTTGTTTTTAAAGAGGGTTAATTTTAAATTGTTCTAACACCCATAGTTCTGTTTTTACCTTACTAACTCCCATAGACATTTTGTGTAGCCTCAAACATGATAATTTCAAACTAGTAATTGGCTTAAGTTCAATTTCACCTACAAAATCGAATATTTAATTAGAATTGATTTTAAAACAGGGATTCTCCTTTTCTCCAGGATAGAAGAGAAGATGGGAACAGTTTAACCTTGTCTTGTGGTAGACCGTCGGGAAAGGTATTAAACTTTTACATTTTATCACAATGATGCACTTTAAAATTTTGACTGTTCATCGAGTAAAGAGGGCACTGTGTTTAATTCTCTTGAAAACAACTTAAATTCTTGTAAAACGCGTTGTGTACACTGATTATTTTGTGAACTCAACAACGCTAATTAATTACTTGTGTTTCTTGACATTACCGAATATTTTACGTTAAAAGCGGTTTGCAAAAAAATGTACTTCCAGTTCTAGAAAATGAATATTAATTTTTATAAAACAAGAGCGTTTTCTTAGATTAATAAGAAGAAGTCTGACAACCTTGATCAGTCAAAGGTTTAAATTAGACATTGGCATCTTTGCATAGAGTGTCATCTTATCAAATAGTTAAATGTCAAAAGAAATGATGTTCTGAATTTATTTTTAAGTAGTGTTTTAATACTGTTTTAATACCCCCACTATTCGCTATTTTTTCATAATTTATTTACATTTTAAATGTTTTTTTTTTATATTTTTAAGATTACAGAATGCAGTTGGAAACATTTATCTGCCAATGTTTGGTCAGAGCAGCAAGGAAAGCAGAAACCTCTTAATCATCTTGTTTCAAAGTTGTATAAGAAAAAACACAAAAAAATATGATAATAATAGTTTTAGAATATTATTGATTTCTGCTCCAGGCTCAGATTTGAATCGAGAAATAACACTGGACAACAGCTGGTGAGAAATTTGAAGAAAATAATAAACAAAAAGTCGTAAATATTGTATAATTGCTCTCCCCTTCTCCTTCATTAGGTGCAATCTGACCTTTATCTCTATGGTGGAGGGGGTAGATTCAGGAAAATGGAAATGTAAACTAACCAACTCAGATTCAGCACAATATCAGGTTCAATGACCCCTGGATGTATATTTTCCAACCCCCCCCCTGGTATATAATGCCTGTGTTCTCTCAATGTTCAGCACACTTTCAAAAGGAGAGACTGGCTGGTAACGTTTAAAAAACCAATGAGACGTTTTTACTATGTATAACTTCTAAGTATGTGCGTAAATTGGTTTACAAAATTTAACCAGAAATTTAAATTAAAATGCCTGTATATGATTTCAAAAATTTTCTCAACTCCAACAAATAACCTCCCCTCATCTATACAATAGAATCTTATCATTAAACCCTTATCTGCCTGTAGCTTCTACACTGTATGCGTGTAGGGGGAGGGGAGGGAGGGCCGAGGGGCAACTTGAAATTCTTCCTGTTTTCACAACCTAGAAAATCCACTAAAAAAGTTTTCATGATCGAACATGAACTAATCTTTTTCAAAATTTTGAATTTGTCATAAATTCCTTATCAACATTAATTTAAATACTATATTTGAATGTTAAAAGTGATAAGTTCTGTTAAAAAATATATGGAAAGAATATTCTGAATGTAAATAGATACTTTTCAGTTGGAAGTTCTTAGCAAAAATTATTAAAAGTTGAAAAACTTCACTGTTGTAAATTGTAAATTGTATATTACTCTTGAAACAATATACACTTGGAATTAGAAACTATGCCTATGTTCCTTTAATACAGTTTTCTTTATAGGAAGGACATTTCGAGGTCACAGAGGACAATCTGGACATTAGGTTATTTTCTTGCAAAAAAATCTATATTTTTGATATTTCTGTTGTTTAAAACTATCACCGAAAAAGAACTCCACTTTTTTGGAAAGTTGTTTAGGTTATATAATGAAAATGTTGAGTGTTGCTTTTGTTAAATACCGTTACCAGTTTTTAAATATTTATATCAGTACATTATTAAAAAATGTCAAACGTTATGACGAACATTTTGATAGAAATTTAGAGAGAAAAAATGTTAACTTGACATAAGGCAAAACTTTAGCTGAAATTTGAAAAATTGTTGAGAAAACTATCTAAACATTTTTATGAATCTTATATATTCTTATATTCTGATAGTGAAAAAATGTGTTTCATTTCGAAATGTTTTCTGTCGAATTGGATACTTCTTCGAACATTTTCTCTAAATATATCCTATCGTCCTATCGTCTGTATTCCATCACCAGAACTTCAGCCAATGGCAGTGCAGTATGCTGGTCACGTGATTTCCGTCTGTATCACGTGATAATGATACTGCACTGCCATTAGCTGAAGTTCTGGTGATGTAAGTAAATTATCAATTATATCTATCAAAATACAAAATAAAAAAAATAATAATAATAGGAGCAAACCTGAGATTCTCAGGCTCCTGTAGGATATCGTCGTTTTCAGATTGGTTGCGTATTTGTTGAATATGATCTGTTTAATACTACAACTTTTGAACAAAATTGCATGTATATAAATTTTCAAATAAAGGAATTGAGTGTTTGGTGATGGTACAAACCTTTAATATTTCAAACTCAGATTATTTGATCCAACAGAATTATAGTTTGAAATATCTAATATCGACGACATTGGCCGGCAAAGATATAGGGGTCAGAAAATTGGAGTTTGTTACAAAGACTCAATTCCTATGACACAGTTTTATATCAATTTCACGAGACAGGAACATCAGATAGATGTGTATCGTTTAACTCCTGAGATTCTCAGGTTTCATACAATACACCCTTTCATTTTTCCTTTACAGTCGCATTAAGCTTCTTCTTTTGTGCACTTTTGTCCTCACTAAAAAAGAAAAACTTCCAAGATTTCACATTTTATTATGCTAAAGTTTGCTTTTTTAAACCGATCAATATCTTCATCCAAAAATATGAAAAAACTGTCCTTTTACTGTTTTACCGACATGTTCGTTTTTGCATCGTTTTTGAATCGTTTTTGTATCGTTTTTGGACCGTTTTCAGTCGTTTTTGGATCGTTTTCAGTCGTTTTTGGATCGTTTTCAGTCGTTTTTGGATCGTTTTCAGTCGTTTTTGGATCGTTTTCAGTCGTTTTTGGATCGTTTTTGCATCGTTTTTGCATTGTGTATGCATCTTATTTGCATCATTTTTGGATCGTTTTTCTTGCATATATCTTCTGCCAGGGTCAAAATTTGACATAGCGCAAAAAAAAAATTATTTGTTTCGACCTGAGTTTCTCCCTGTATCTAGGTTACCAAAAACAGTTCTGCCTGAAGTTTACAATGTTTATCTGGTTCCACATTTAGACCCAGAGGACTTTACTATCACAGGACATGTAGATATTCAGGGATCCATTTTGTTATTAATATCTATAACAATACGTTGGAAATATTGAACAATTTGTTAGAAATATCAAACGATTTGTTGAAAATATTAAATCATAAAATTAGAAATATCAAAGAGCTTGTTGTTTCATGTTTGAATAAATAATGAAAATCTTAAAGAAATGTTAAACGCCTAAAAAAGAACTACAAAAACTGTTTTTGGATGAAATAGTTTTTATAGGTATTGAGTCTTTGCCACAAACTCTAATTCACTGATCCCCATCTTTGCATCCTGATGGAGTAAACCTTTGATATTTGAAACTTTGATTTAGGTTTTTCAAAGACCAGAGTTTCTGGCTACGACTCAATTTCTTTGTGATTTATCAAATATTCACACTTACAAAACTAAAGTATTCAATAAACGACAATTTGGAAAAAACATGAAATTAATCAAAATTGATTTAGCAAAACATCTTGATTTTATTTTCGTCTCTAAAAAATGGATTTTCTGAAGGTTAATGTACTTGAGCCTACAGACAGTTTAACAGTTCATATTTATGATATTGTTATAGAAGAAGAAACTGTCGAGGTGTCTTCAAACACAGACCATCCTGTGAGTATAAGATTTCAACCTTTTTTTTAGTTATCCCCTTAAACCCAGACTTTTAAGGAAAAACTAGATTCAATTTGAAATTATAAAAAAAAATCATTGAAAAATGAATATATACATAAATAGATAAAAGTTACAAGATTTTAAGTGTAAAAAGAAAGCAGACATATAGATTAGGATATTCATAAATTTTAGAAGAAAAATTTAAAAGTTTCATTTTAAAACTTTATAGATAGCAGGACATACATATGATGATGAGAGACAGTTCTATACAATAAACCTGGTAAACAGCTTAGAGCCAGGAACATACATCGTTCATATCTCTTTTACTGGGTTTCTCAACAACGAACTTACAGGTGCAACATGGAATATACAGTAATATTTGAATCTTCCTCTACGACCATAGTCCACACAAAATTCATCCAAATCTAATCTGGTTTCAAAATAACTGTAATTTCAAGTGGCCCCTCCGCATGTCCGATTCACAATAGTGTACCCTTTACACCTTTTGCTTGGTAACAATTATTAAGAACTGTCGTTTTTTATCTTGAAACTTGGGCCTTTTTGACGTTGAATTTCACAAGTCACTTTTACAGAGTAACCAGTGACCCACCCGTCACCAGTTAAAATTATTAATTTTAAGACAGAAAAAAATGTTATATTCATTTATGCTCAAACGACTAGCGGTGTTTAACTCTTTTTATTAAGGGTCATTTTATTTTACTTTAATAGTAATACCTTTATTAACACAGCCACTGCAAGTAAAATGTCTAAAATACCTTTATTAATACAGCCACTGCAAATAAAATGTCTAAAATACCTTTATTAATACAGCCACTGCAGGTAAAATGTCTAAAATACCTTGATTAATACAGCCGCTGCAAGTAAAATGTCTAAAATACCTTTATTAACACAGCCACTGAAGGAAAAATGTCTAAAATACCTTTATTAATACAGGCACTGCAGGTAAAATGTCTAAAATACCTTTATTAAAACAGCCACTGCAGGTAAAATGTCTAAAATACCTTTATTAATACAGCCACTGCAGGTAAAATGTCTTAAATACCTTTATTAATACAGCCACTGCAGGTAAAATGTCTAAAATACCTTTATTAATACAGCCACTGCAAGTAAAATGTCTAAAATACCTTTACTAATACAGCCACTGCAGGTGAAATGTGTAAAACACCTTTATTAATACAGCCACTGTAGGTAAAATGTCTTAAATACCTTTATTAATACAGCCACTGCAGGTAAAATGTCTAATATACCTTTATTAATACAGCCAATGCAGGTAAAATGTCTAAAATACCTTTATTGACACAGACACTGAAGGTAAAATGTCTAAAATACCTTTATTAACACAGCCACTAAAGGTAAAATGTCTAAAATACCTTTATTAATACAGGCACTGCAGGTAAAATGTCTAAAATACCTTTATTAAAACAGCCACTGCAGGAAAAATGTCTAAAATATCTTTATTAATACAGCCACTGCAAGTAAAATGTCTAAAATACCTTAATTAATACAGCCACTGCAAGTAAAATGTCTAAAATACCTTTATTAATACAGCCACTGCAAGTAAAATGTCTAAAATACCTTTATTAAAACAGCCACTGCAGGTAAAATGTCTAAAATAAGAAACCAAAAATTAGAGTAAAGGTGTAATCTCTGTTTGTCTGTCTGTTTGTTTCTCCGATCATAACTCAGGACTGGTTTGCCTCAAATTGATTTGGGAACTTGGAGACCCACGGGAATGCTCTTAGTTAGGTTTTGAGATTCTAATTTGGTCGAATTAATTATCGGGAAAAATAGCAGAAATCGTAATTTACAACCAAGTGCGGGTAAACGGCGGGAGTAACTATGAGTAATTTGGGCATCACTGGGCTCCCAAACTAGAATACTATATATGGAGAAACTTCTATCCTCCTATCCTTTAAATGTTAAATGTTACTTGTGTTACTGTGTATATTTTTCTTCATAAATTATATTTCTCCAGATTTTCCTGTTGATGAATTGCTAAAATGTTGGAAAAACTAAATGTTAATTTTTATCGTTCTTGAGTTCTGTCCTGTCATTCTGTAAATAATTCAGACTCGCAGTTTTTGTTAAGTTTTAGAAATAAAAATGATAAAATTTAGAATTGTTAGATATACTATCTGGAATGCCTGGCGTTGCCCGTAGAATTTAAAAAGGGAATTTTTTATTAAAAGAATTGATTTTTGAAAAAAAAATATTTAGATTTTTTAGCCTGTGTTACACCACATCAGCAGTGTAGCCATGGGTTACTTCAAAAAAATTCAGTCATTTTGTTCCAGCCGTTTGGCCAGTTATTGCTTACATATATAAATGGAGTTGTGGGCAAAGTGCTTTATTATATAGATGAAAATAAGTTGCATAAATTGTAATGATCCAGTACAAAATCTGACGTTTAGGAGATAAGATAAGACAAGTTGAACATATTACAGGGGTGAATTAATTTTTAAATTTTGTTTTAGGATTTTACAGAAGCAGTTACATCGACTCAGATGGAAAAACAAAATGGTTGGCCACGACACAGGTAGACAATTAGTAAAATTTGTTAAATTACTAAATTCTCACAAAAACAAATGAGGATAATTAAAAAGTCTTTTTAGCCATATTTGCCTAAGTTAAATCGAAACTGTATTTTATAATAATTACTCGTTGAGGAGGCCATGTCTGTCATCTCAAAATTTTAAAAAAGATCACAGTTTTTTCGTATTATTAGTAATTTTAGATTGAAATGTCAGAGAATATGAGGAATATGAGGAATTGAGGGGGGAATTTTAAGTTTTAAGCTGAAGAAGGGATTTGTTCTGTGATGTTGGATGGGTTAATTTGCTGAACAATCCAGAAATGAGTTCAAGGATGCGAAGACGACAAAAATTCCAGAAGAAATTTCGCGCCAAAGGATTTTTGGAAGTGTCTTATTTATTACATAATATTTAGTTTGAGACAACATCAGCTCGACGTGCTTTTCCTTGTTTTGATGAACCAGCGATGAAAGCAATATTTAAAGTTCATCTTGGTAGAAGCATTAATATGACTTCTATTAGGTTAGTTCTAAATTGAAAAGTAGTATTTTTTTAGGCGATAAACATTCATTTTATTAAAAACCTCACCAGCGCCCCATCCCCCCCTTTCTGCCTCCTCTTTCTTATTACATATCTAATAATAGATTAGTGAGAAAATTAATAATCAATAATAATTCTGTAAGATCAAATAGTCTAAGTTAAAATATTAAAGGTTTACGTCATCAGGTTGCAAAGATATAGGGGTTAGAAAATGCAAGTTTGTGGCAAAAACTCAATTCCTTTAATATTATCAATTGGTTTAAAACGTCATTTTTTTCTCAATTAAGTACAACACCAATTTTTCAAGAGAAAACACTGTTCATATAAATTCAAATTCATAATTTAATTTTGTTAAATGTTTAGCAACATGCCCATTCAAGAAACTACTGATATGAACGTTGAAGGATATGTTTGGGATAATTTTGAGGTAAGATCTAGTTTATAAAATCTATTAATTCTTAAATAGGTCTATTGAACCAATAGACCTAAACTATGAATACAATCAAAAACACAATGTTCATCAGAGTTCGTTAACTGTCCAAATCTGCAAGCTTATTAAATAGGTTTTCTTTCTTTTATCGTGGTAATAAAAAACATCTCTAATTTAAATAAGACTATATAATATAAATCTTCATGAAAGGAACAGATTTCAAGAACTGAAGATGGTCAAAACAGACCCAAATATATATTTATCAAACACTTACTTTATTAACTCTTTGAGGTTTGAATCCTCATCAACATCAAAGGAATTGAGTCTTTGCCACAAACTCTGATTTTCAAATCCCAATATCTTTTTGACTTAATGTAGTATATCTTAAATATTTCAAACTTTGAATTGTCTTTGATTAAATTATCAAAGTTTGAAATATCAAAGGCTTATGCCAATATTTTCCAAAGTTATATGGATTTGAAAATTCGAGTTTGTGGTAAAGACTCAATTCCTTTGAAGAAAAGTATTTTAATTTTAGGAATCACTGAAGATGTCAACTTATCTGGTTGCGTTTGTTGTAAGTGACTTTGTATTCAGGGAATCAGAGGATGTCGGGAATGGAGTCATATTCAGGTTTATTCGTTTTCCTACATTTTACATAAACTTTTGCTATATTTTGCTTCAACTTTGCTAGATTTTGCATAAAATTTTGCTACGTTATCATCAACTTTTGCTCCATTTTGCATCAACTTTTGCTATGTCTAGCATCAACTTTTGCTATATTTTGCTTTAATTTTGCTAGATTTTGCATTTACTTTTGCTGCATTTTGCATCATTTTCTGCTACATTTTGCAGCAACCTTTACTACATTTCGCACCAACTTTTGCCACATTTTGCATTAACTTCTGTTACATTTTATATCAACTTTTGCTACATTTTTCATTAAATTTTACTACATTTTGCATCAACTTTTGTAATATTTTTCATCAATTTTTGCTACCTTTTGCATCAACTTTTGCAATATTTTTCATTAAATTTTACTACATTTTGCATCAACTTTTGTAATATTTTTCATTAAATTTTGCTACATTTTGCATCAACTTTTGTTACATTTGTTTTCACGCATTTTGCATGCTTTTTTTGCTAAATTTTGTAATCATTTTGGAATAGGTATTATTTAAATTTTGATGAAAATAATATAAAACTGTACAAAGTGTATAATTTGTTTCTTAAAGAAAAATCATTTTTAAAGCATTTTTGAACTGTTCTGTTTTTGGTATCAATTAATAACAAATATGCTCTACAGGTTTTTTAACGAGTAGGCATTTTTTTATTTTTCTATTAATAAATTATTTTTAATTATTACTAAAAGACATTGAATTTTACTTTCGCTTTACTTCAAAAATGTTTAAGTAATGGGTGTTTCAATAAACAAAAAGCTTTAAAACTGTCACTGATTTCATGTTAAAAATTGACACTTCATATTTACTTTTCACGGCGTTACCTGTGAAATTTTTGAACAAATCGAATTTTGAACAGATTTTTTTTTGCTTGCTGTTTTGGTCGAGCCGTTTGGCTATAGCTAACAAATATATACATACAAATATACAAATATAATAAATTTGAGCAAAGAGCTTTAGTATATTTTAAATAATTGTTTACATTTTCAGGATTTGGTCCCGCTCTGACCTGTACGAGCAGACCGCCTATGCTGCCGAAGTTGGACCTAAAATTCTTAAATATTATGAAGAATATTTCGATACACCCTTCCCTCTACCCAAACAAGATATGATAGCTATTCCAGGTTTAAAAAAATTCGTTTATTTATTTTGAGGGCGGCAGATGGTCAACATGGACTAATTTTGGGGCCCATTGGCCATTGGCCAACAACCCGACAAGCCAAAACAAACAAATATGTTTTGTTTAACGTATAACGCTTTTAATGTTTTAAAAAATCGGCTGATAACTAGGGCTATATAAGTTATACATCAGCAACTGTACTTTTTACAGACACCATATAAATGTAGAAATCTTGAAAAACATAAGAAAAACACACATTACGTATGTCTTGTATTGTCGGACAGTTGGTGGACAATGAAATCGTTTTTTTGAAATTTTTCTCACTTTTTGCCAACTTTTTGCTTTTATTAATTATATAGTTTAGAGATCGCTAAACTTGAGGTATATAATTTCTACAATTTTATTTATTACCCAAGACAAAATGCAATGCAATCAACACTAAAAATAATACATAGTCTTAGCATGAATAGACACATTTTTGACTCGAATACTAAAATTAGTATTATCTGTCAAGAAATGAAATGATTATATGTTCTAGACGTCCAACCTGAGTTAATAATAGTTACCCAACAAAGAACTATATCTCAAGAGACGACTAAACGCCTGTAAACTTGTTTCTTTCTTCCAAAACCATTCAGTAAATCATCTAAGACTTCAATTTTAACCTTTCTATTGCTGCATAGTTTGTGAACCCAGCTTTGACTGACAATATATGTAATAAGGTTGAAGCATTTTCATTAAACACAACTGAAGTAAGCAAGGCAATTTAAAAAAAAAGCATTTTTCGATAAAATCAAAACTGACCATCGCAAATGACTATTTGGGGCCGAAAAACCAGTTACACATTTTTAATTTCTTCAAACTATGTCGGTATGGATATCAAAAGATACGTCTTGCAAAGCCTAATTCTAAGTAGTAAAAGGTTTGTAAAAATATATTTAATAACATGCGATCTAGAAGCATTAAAGTGGAAAAAAGAGAAAACAAAAAATCAGCTGTTTTCTCTAGTTTTTCAGTTCCAACTTGGCTATTTTTTATTATTTTGTAATATGGGGTTTTCCGTTGTATATGGCTTGAAATGACGGATCTTTTGATGACATGTTTTAAGAAGAAGAAAAAACACTCGTACTATCGTTTTTTATCACAAAAGTCTATTTGCGATGGTCAATTTTGATTTTGGCGAAAAATGCTTAATATAAATGTTTCATAGAATTATAAAATACATTCGTATTTATTACTTGAAATTGATTCCTCACAAGTTCGTGAAAAATCTTTTATTCTTAATATATAAGTTGACCAACGCAATTTAAATTTTAAATTTAAAGCTAAGACCATTTCCGTGTTTCTACCAAATTAATTAAATCAAAATTTGAGTCAATACGGGCAATGTGTTTCATAAGCTATGATCGGGCATACAAACCTACACACTCCCAAACAGGTCGTCCTTACAGTTTCATTGTTTGTGAGTAACCCTTTATTTATAGTTCAAAACAAAAGATTCATGCAGTGATAAAAATGTATTTTCTAGATTTTGGAGCTGGAGCAATGGAAAATTGGGGCCTTGTCACCTATAGAGAGTCTGCTTTGCTGTATCAAGAAGGTGAATAAATCATAGATTTAATAATTAAGGGATTCCAAGTCGGGCTGAATTTAAACAGTATTTTCTGAGCTGGGAACTTTCTGTTGGATATTTAAGATTCCGATCGTTTGATCTCGATATCCACCGCGGGCATTTTTAATTTGAGGATCAATGCTTAATATGTTAATTTTAGCTATTCCTCTTGAACTGGGATTTGTGTTGGTTACTCTTAATCAAGATTGCTTGACCTCAATATCCACTAGGGCACTTTTGATTTGAGGATATACAAAAAATAAACTTTCAATACCTTCATTTAAGTTAATTATCTCCTGATCAAAGATCTTCTCAACCCCTGACGGGATACGATTACTATGCGGGATATCGAATAAAGATTAAATTAATCTGCAGATTAACAAAGGATAGAGATCAGGCATTAAACTCGATATCCATAATACAATAGTTTCCAGCTCAGTACGATGAACTTAAAAAAGCAATAGCGAAAGGTTTTATTTTAAGCAATCATTTACAAACATTCTTTTTGTTTACAAATGAAATTATATTTATTTTATTGGAGATCCAAGCCTTTAAACTGATATTTTCTTTAACCTTAGATAACAACTTTTTAGACGCTTGATCTCGATATACATTGTGGGCGCTTTTGAATTTTTGTATGAATACATGCTCCCTCAATTAAAGTGATCCCTACAGGATATGCCAATTATGAGATATCGAACAAAAATTAAACTAATCCGTAAATATACATAAGATGGAGATCAATGCTTGATTTGACTTGTTTTATAAATCTAGGCGTATCCTCCCTAAGTGAAAGAGAATATGTAGCTGTTGTCATTGCTCATGAACTGGCGCATCAATGGTTTGGAGATCTTGGTAACATAAACACTATTTTAACTTGGGATTCTCATGTCGCCTAGTGGGGGCTGGGAAATAGTTTTACAATGAAAACTATTAAATTATGCGACTCTGTAAAAATGATTTTGTGCTAAACATTTATAAAAACTGTTTTTAAAGCATAAATTTTACAAAAAATTTAAAACTATTCATTCCAATCAGTCTGTATCAAAAGTGACCAACCCAGTAACGATGGAAGGTTTTGTTTCAGTAACTATTGAATGGGATTGTTTCAGTAACANGCAGAACATGCATCCTTCCACGCATCATTTTTACTGAGAAGAGGGTTGACAAGATTCCAGCTGCCAAGATTCTTCTTTGGCCTGAGAATATAGAGTGCAGGAATCCTTCTGATATAAAATATACAATATTAGAATCATGTTTATGAATTACAGGGTGAAGAAGATAGCAAAGACTAAGTTTATCCACATGAAAAACAGTTATTTTTTTACAGATATAGCTTGCATAATCTAAATAGTTTTTGAAGATTTTTCTTTTAAACAGTTTTGCAGATTTAGTTTCTTTAAGCTCTAATTCAAGCGAATTCCATAATTTTGGAAATAAAGCGGAAGGAAAATATTCTAGCGTCTTAAAAAGAACCCGCTCAAGTTTATATGATTTTGTTCTATTTGGTTCAGCTAAAGAATTAAACATATCATGGAAGGAAGCTGGAAGGTTTTCATAAAAGTATTTATGCATAAAAGATAGAACACCTAGTTTATGTGTATCATCAAGATTTAGAAGTTCTAATCTGAAGAATATTGGTTCTAAATGTGCTTTAAATGAATTATTTTTCACTGCTCTAATTACCCTTTTTTGCAAAGATTTGATTTTCTGTAGTTTAGCATTTTTTACGCCCCTCCCCCCCATGTTATTATTCCATACTCGATATGTGGCCTTACAAGTGCACATTATAAACTAGTAGACGAATGTGTAATGGTAAAATGTGTTTAATCTGATTCAAAGCAAAAATTGAGCTACCAATCTTATTTGAAACATGTTCTATTTGATAATCCCAACTTAAGAATTCATCAATTTTGAGTCCAGCAAATTTAAAATATTTATTTGTACAGTCAGTTCCTATTCTTTCCAGAATTTCATTTCCAATTTTTAATTTGCAGTTCTTAGGATCAAAACGCATATTTTTATTCCTAAATATCATAAACTTTGTCTTGGAGACATTTAATGTTAAACGGTTTGCCTGAAACCAGGCAGCTGCCTTTTTTAGTTCAAAGTTGGAATCATTTACTAAAGTTTCGATATGTGGTGATTATTTTAAAAAAACTAGTTCGTCGGCAAATAGATTAGTAAAAAAGACGTTGCAGACAATCTGCAAATGAAAATAATCAGTTAAAAGAAACATAAACATGAATATGTAATTCATTGATCAGACAAAGCTTTTAAGGGCATTATTATATGTGTACGGAGGGTCACTTGAAATTATGCTTACTGTCCCTTTAATGAGCAAGAAAATTATATTAATTCTTGAACTTTTAGACAGGTTTATTCTGCAGTCAGTTCAACCAGCCTTAGAGCTAGATGCACTAGGAATTTAATGATAATATTTTAAAGAAGAAACATATATTCTTTTGGTTTTTATTTTCTTTAAAAGTTCAGTGTTATCCAATGTCTAAGTAAAAATGGTGATATTATTTTTTCATAGATTCCAAGAAAGCTGATTATAACGAAAGATTTTTTAGAACAAACTTTATCAATAAATTTTAGAGTCCTCTCATCCCATATCTATCCCTGTAAACAATCCAGATGAAATCAATGAAATATTTGATGGTATTTCCTATGCAAAAGGAGCATCAGTTATTCGCATGATGGCCAACTTCTTGCAAATTAATACTTTTAACAAAGGTGTCACAAGGTATTTGCAAGCCAATGCATATGGAAATGCAAACCAGGTAGATTGCACCAAAACTTTTATTTTATAAAAAAATGCTTGAATTTATTTATTGTTTTACGTTTTAAAATATTTGAGTTATGACAACATATTTGCAAATTAAATCCAACCCAGAAATCTGGGCATCTAGATTTCTTTCCACGTTTTTCAAATGTTTTCAGATTTCGGCTCTAAAACGACCAAACCGTGAAAACCAGAAAACGTTAGACAGTGCAAACAGACCAATTTAACTCAATAAATGATTTTAAAATAAAATAGTAAAACTATTTGCAGCTTTTAACAATATAATATATAATATCGTCTTCTTCTTCCATAGCTTCCATAGTTGTTTTGCTTCTCACTGTATAATGAAATAAAAAATACAGTTTTGATGTCTTAATCATCCAATCTTATATTCTTAATACATTGCTTAGGATACCCTTTGGAGATTTCTAGCAGATGCGGGACACGAAGATGGTACATTGGACTTAAATATGACAATCAAAGCTGTAATGGACACGTGGACTCTACAGATGGGTTACCCTGTAATATCAGTTTCAAGAGATTATGAGAACAACATACTTCACTTTAGTCAGGACAGGTTCTTGATTAATCCTAACTCTACGGCAGAGGAATCCTATACATGGTATGTTCCTATCTCCTACGGGATACCTAATACTGCAGATGGGTTGGATGATACCTCAGTCAAGCTGTGGATTTATCCAGATAATACTAATGTTTCTATCCAAGAGGACACAGCTCTTCCGAACCTACCTTTGATCGCAAATGTGCAAGAAACCGGTTTCTACCGAGTTAACTATGATGCACGGAACTGGAAACTAATCTCTGATGTTCTAACAATTGAACACACAGCAATACATAGGATGAATCGAGCTCAGATACTTGATGATGTGTTTAACCTTGCTAGAGCTGGTCTTCTAGACTATACCCTAGCTTTGGACCAAACAAAATATCTCTCTAAAGAATTGGACTACATTCCTTGGGCTTCTGCGTTCAGTGGGTTTAAATATCTGCAAAGCATGCTGAAACGAAGTCCTGGATTTGGCAAGTTTAAACACTACATGATTTTAGCCCTACAGCCGGTTTATGAGCGTCTTGGATTCACGGAGAAGCCTGATGATACTATTCTTGACGGTAAACTAAGGCAAGTTTAAAACTTACATCTAAACTGTTAAGAAATGTCGTTGCTCCTTGTAACCTTTCATATATATTTTGTCAACTAGTGGGACATAAGACATAAGACATAAGATACAATTAGGGTGACTCGCAAAAATTCTCCCAAAAAAAGATTTAATTTATTCGAAAAAATAATGGCTTGTTCAACGAACTACTCAGGTAGTTCGATGTGAGTGGGTACACAATAGCAGTACTATGCACACCACTAACCTTGTTATATGGCGCCTAGTTGACCTTTTTGGGTTTAACCTAGATTAATATGAAATGGAAATGAGGTATAGAATATTAGAAAGGTTAATTTGAAGTTGAGGTGTAAACTTATAAATTTATACTTACCTAAAGTGTTGTTAGGTATAATTTGAATTTAAGGGGTAAACAATAAACATGTATTAAAAAATAGTTAAAGGGATTACCAGTATTCTAGCCAGCATTTTGTAATTCATAAACTTAATTGCTTAAATTAAACTTACTTTTAGTTCAGCCTCATATGGATTTTAGAGAAGAATTGGTCCCTAAGTTCAATCAGTATATATCCTCGTGTCACATAATCTTGCAAGGGTAGGTTTTTTTGGCCTCCAAGGAATTTCCTTACAATGTTGACTGGTTGTTCTCCCAGTTGCCTGTTAGTGTCAATCCAAGACTGCAGAGAGATTTCTTCTGATACATTAAGTGACTTTCTAACATCTACCATAGCAGTACATTGTACAAGGAG